TGCAAAGCTAACTGAAACTTCAAAAAAAATCTACCTCTCCTGCCAGTTTTGTCTTGTTACGTCTTTTGCGTTGTTATGTACATCATGCATGATGTTGGAAAGGCTTGCAATGATGCAAAAGTGCATTAAAACTGAACTAACAAGCCTGTTTTGAAGATGTATAACAATATGTATATAAATATGTTACTTTCTAAGTACATTCAGTACTTATAAAGTATATATGAAAAGAATGTGGATATTAATATGATTTCAAGGAAAAATACTGTTTCATTCATTATATTTTTCTGATATGTGTTTTGAAGTGTCTTATCTGTTTTCATGTTTCTTTTTTATGTTTTGTGTGGACCCCAGAAAGAGTAGCCGATGTTCTGCATTAATTAATGGGGATCATAAGAAATTCGTAAGAAAATCATCATTTCTTGTAGAGACATGGATTTTCAGTCAGTATGTGTGTACCTCTAAAGCCTTTGTATCCTGGGCCACCCGGTTCTCCTCTGGCGCCAGGCAACCCGGGCTGTCCAGGGAAACTAGCGGGGATACCTGAGGGAGAACCTGCAAGCAAACACATATATAAAGTTAGAACGGTTAGAGGTTAAAATGGTCAATTTGGCACATATCCTGCATTGTTTAGATTTCACACAATCTGAACTTAAGCTGAATTGCACTGAGTGGTGTAAGATGTAAAAACAATGGATATGTGTAAAAGTCTTGTCTTGAAGGAACTTATTTTTATGCAAGTCAAACTGAATATTTATATAATATAAACAGGAAACCGGCACAGTGCAAGTGCAGCTTGGTGTCACAGTGTGAAATCAGGATTAGTCTCTTTTTATCAGCATGTAATATGAAAGAGTTTAGCTGCTGCTGCAAGATGACAGATGCTTATTTAAGAAAGCATAAACTTGTTTATATTGTGTTAAAATATAAAACAGAATTGTACTTAGCACGAACCAATTCAGTGATTTTACATTATTATGGCTTAAGAGCTACTTGACACAAGCAGCATGCATAGGCTGTTGCAGTTTGGCACCTACACAAACAAAGGAAACAAACTGCTAACAATACACACTCGTCTTATTATTTTTAGGTCCAGTAAAAAATACAACTGCATCATCTGCGAATGGATGTTCTTTCTAGTCAACTTACTACTGATTTAAGTAAAAATACATTTCAGTTCAAGAATTCAAGAATTTGTGCAGCTACAAGAAAGACTTTGTTGAAATATTTTAAATATCTTCCTGACAAACTGAGAAAAAAAAGTGTTTATTTTTTTGATTATGATGATTATTACCATTATTACTATTTTTTTTTTTTTTAGTTTGTGTAAATTTTTTCTTTATTTAAAAAAATTGTTGTTTGCCATGCTAAATGTCCATGTAAAATCAATGAATTTATGTTTACACCAGGCGACACCATGTGGCCAAAGATGAGAAAAGCAGCTTGGAGTAGAGAGACCCTCCTATCCAAGTCTGAAGCCTTGACTCTTCTGAGCTATACTTACCACCGCACCCTCCGCAGAGTATAGCGTAAATAAAAAGCATTTTGGCAGCTTAGACACTGCCTGCTGAAAGTTGTGTTTGTTGTTTTGAATTTTGCTTGGGTAGACTGAATATTGCCATGGCGATCATAGCAATATGGCCACCTTTAGGATACCTGCCTTTGGGACCCACCAACTCAGGAACGATGACACAGGGACCAACGGCAAGGCCTTGGAGGACAGTTAAATGAGTCAGCCATGATGTTTTAAAGTTTGTTTCCAGCTGTACTTTTAGCGATGTAGTAGTTTTTACAGCTTCTTTTATGCCAGCCGTAGCTCTGTGTCAAGATGATAAAGATGCTGTATCCTCATCTAGAAGGTTCTATTTTTTACATCATTTTAATCACAACAAAATTAATCATTTTTAGCTCCTTTCATTCAAAGGATCCAGCTTAAAGTGCTTTGTCAAAGTCAAATAATTAGCAAAATAAACAACAGTTAAGATTCAAAACACGTTACTATTGGAAGCCTTTAATGACCCTTTAGACCAGGGGTGTCAAACTCAAA